AATTAGTTGGTGTACGGTCGTGTACGACCGAGCGTGTTTGACCTGGGTATGCTTCAAATCGAACTGTATATGATTCTGATAATATTTTTGGTCGTGAATGAATAAGATTGAAACGAAATTTTTTATTTAAATTTTTAGAAAAAATCAATGGAACATGAAAAATATAATAATCAATGACGCTATCATCAGATAACAGTAATGCTAAAATTTTGATTGTATTCGATGATTGTTCTAATAATTTTTGTGATATATTATAAAGACTTGTTATAATAGTTCTACGATCACTGAAATGTTGGCAATATTCACCATACAAACTCGGAGGACAAAAACATTCTATTGTATTCGTTTTATTTCTTCTGATTGCAACTCCTCTACCACATATCAATCCTTCTTGTCCGTCATTTTCTTCTTTATAAGGAAAATGTGTATAATTAGTGATTGTTTCTTGTTGCGGCATTGAATTAATGTCAAATAAATCGATTTTTTGCAATTGTGAATACGTAGGTAAATAAATCCTTAAGTGTTGTTTATATCTTGCTCCGAATCGATATAGAACCTGGCGTCTGTAAGATTCTGTTCGAAATGATAGAAAAAGAAAATATCTTTCAACACTTCTTCCTCGTTTTTTATTGCAGAACATTTACGAATTATATTATCTAAGCAATTTTCTTCAAATAAATCAAGTAGTGAGAATAAAATATTACTCAATTTGTTGCTGTAGTATATTTTAAGTGTATAATTTTTATTATATATACGTTCTCTAAAATGCAATGTTGCTTAACAATTCGAGAACGGTCGCAATAGTACTCATCGGTTGAAGATATATTGCACCCATGCCCATGCTCACTAGTACAAATCTCAGATCGTGTGAGATGACGACACTCTGGGCTCCGAAGCATTGGTATTTGATCGCATAGTAGTTTATCTGCATTGTTTGAACAACGTTGTTCACAAAGAAGATGATATGGTATACATTCTTGATCACTGCAATGAAAATCAAAGCCACGCTGTTTGTAAGTATTATTGCCACAGCTTAATAAATTACGCTCATCTAATCCTCCATAACAATCAATAATACCATCACCTATTTGCGTCACATTAATACACGGTCGATGAACATGAAAGTTTATTGATTCGTTCATATTGGCTAATATACATCCATATTCCTTGGGATGTTTACAAAATGTTGTAAATAAAGGCGATTCTCTTAAATCAATATTATAAAGTCGATCGTATTTGATGTGAAGAAATTTGGTATGATTGAGAAGCATGGCGTTGTGTTGTTTTAACTGTTTAATTCGAGAAAGACCGATTTTGTCAGACGCATCTGGACAATGCCAATTTACATCATCCTCATTCATGAATTCATTAAATGTAATGCAATGTCCACTCAAACATTGATACTCATCTGGCGAACATACCCATTGATCACAAAATAATTCATCAAAACCTACCGGTAATTGCCATAAAGTGTCACAATATTGACGAAATACAAAAGCGTTACCATTTTCTGGTAAAGCCAATACTGACGAAGGTAACCGAATATAGGTTTTTAGAAGTTCACATTCTATAGAATTAGATATCTTGCATCCATCAGTGAATAAGTCCCAATTCAATTGCGCTAGATATTCATCACTAGCATCTTTACAATTTTGAATGCCATCTCCAATCTTTGAAGTGAGTAAGCACATTGGTACTTTGCCATCACATTTCAAACGATGTTTTGGCTTTGTCTCACATCCTTTCAGATATTTTTCATCTTCATTGATTGGACAGTCCTTATAGCTGTCTGCAACGCGATATTTTGATATACATCGATGGCTTTCTGAGCAAGAAAAAGATTGTTTCGTGTTATTCCAACAATTTTGATTGAACTGTGGACCAGAAGTGTTCATCATTCGTGGATTTCTACAAAGAGTACTATAAGGATAGTTTTTCCGAAAGGTGTACCAATTTAAGAGACTTCCATTAAAAATGGATCGAGCTTGATAACCGATACATTTTATACTACCATTAAAAAATACATAATTAGGTGTGGAATGTTCACTTAACTCATTTAATTTGTAAACTGTTTGAACGTACGGCTTGAAAAAAGGTTCAGATGGATAATTGATTTGCTTGTCTTTGCATAACGTATGAAATTTTCGAATTGCTTCGTCACAAGCAATGTTCTTTCCTTTAGTCAAGTTACATTTCAGATAAAACACACATTTTTCATGATTATTCATATCGATAAAATTCCTTTCTAGCCAACCATTACTAACACAATGACCATTCTCAAGTGTCCATAAGCTTAGATCATTCGATACTTGTATATACTCACAAAAGAACATGATTTGTCTATAATTATAACAAATATTTCGTGGTATTAGACTGTCCAATACGAACTCGCCATCGTCGCAAGCAAAATATCTATACCGGTTGATTTCTTCGCAACTAAATTGCGAAGAAACCAATGGACACCATGCTGTGGCTGAAAAATCAATGTGACCTTCTTGTTCATCCGTTTGATCTAAACAATCATATTCACCATCTAACCAATATTGTTCACCAATACATAATCCATCCTGACAACGATATTCATTTTCTTCACACTCATTCAACTCTAATTCTTCACAACGATCTTCATCTGTACCGTCTATGCATTGTTGTTCATCTGGTAAACAATAAATTAGTCTTTTAACTAACCTACTTATATCTAACAAACAGTATTTACCATCACATATATTCTACCAAGTTAAACATCGCCGTCCAGAGTAACAGTTACTTAAAGTTGTATAACACGTAATTTTGCCCCACAGTTGGCTTCCATTACGATATTTTTCTTTCAAGTGAAATTGATAATTAATTGTATCTTCAAACGTATTCATCGTCATGAATTCATATTCACGAGACTTTCCAAATGTGTTCGTTGAACAATTACATATTTTCTCCTCGGCAAATTGTTCATGCCTAGAAAAAAATATTTATTCAACTAAATCACTCATTAGATCCAACCCTCAATTGACGCGTTATCCCTTCACGGTCATCCTTATATGTATTATATATATATATATATATAAATCCAATCAGCCGTAATAAATTTTGAAATTTAATAATTAAATAAAATTTTTCTGAACACAACGACAGTCATCACAAACGATCGTCATCTCTCAAAGCTGATTTAAAAAGTACTTACTATACAACCGAAAGAATATACGTACTCAGTTGTTAAATAAGCAGCATATCTATCGACCATTTCAATGCCTGAACTCCATGCTAAGACTTCATCTTGCGTTACATTCATTTCTTTTAAACTTTTAAAGACCACTCCGTACCAGAATTTTCACAAGTTCTTGTCTTAAAAGACCGATCCAACGACACCTCTTTTTGTGTTCGGATGCAGTATGGTGTTGTTTCATTATTTTTGGCTGTTACATTTGTATAATAAATGCAGTCATATGTTAGAACATTCGGTGCATCTTCAGTATTGAATAACTTCATATAGGCTAATTCGTACTTCGGTAGATCAAAGATTAAAGGAAACCATCCGAGTTGATAACTGACTATAGTCATTTTTCACTAAGTGCTCTAAAATATGACTGTTATAAAATAGAACTCATTTTTCTTGCGTTTTTTTGTATATACATTGATAAACGACGACAAGCAAGAAAATTTTTTTGCAAACACGTTCAACAAATTATGACATCCTCAACAGAATCAGTATTCCAAACACCTTTCTAAACAAATATTTTATCCTCGTAGGACAACTATATATCTAGTAATTATATCAAAATCATAATCTTCATCAAAATGGCGTTCTATATTCATCTAAAGCCTCGTTTTTTACTATATTCTTTTTTAGAGAATCTTCATTATTATATCTCGAAGATAGAAATCAATAGAGAATAGAATAGTTATACTTTTTCCTCTTTCATTGTCTATTTTCTTCATGTTAATAGAGAACAGACCAAAGAGGTAAAAGCTGGATTCGAGTCGATTTCGGACTTCATAAAATCAGTTGAAGTCACTTCAACTCCAGGCTCAGCGATTGGGGGGAGATGGGGCATTCCCCGAAATTTGAACATTTTCTGCCAAAATTTTCTGCTCTATTTCTGCGTTTCTTTTTGCTGAAGAGGAGTTGGATGTGGGTATGGGTGCCGATGTGTATTTCGATGTTCGCTTCATTTCCCCACACTTGCACCCATACCCTAGGCACTATCGATCATGTAGCACTCATATAATTATCTCTTGAAAATATCGTGGAGCGAAAAGAAGTCTTAAAGCCACTTGTCCTTTGATCGATTTTTTCATGGACCGTCTCTTAAGTGACGTTGCATTGGCTGATCAAAGTAACTTTAATCGAATGTCTGAATAATAAAAGGCAGGTCATGCATTTGACTGATTTCTTCGCCATCGTTTCATGTCCAGCAATGTTTATGATCGGAGCAATCATAAGTCACGCTAGCTGGAACTTAAGCAACAGAATAAACCATTAAGTCTGACATGCTTGACGCCATTTGTCGTCATCAACATATTGTTTCAGGCTTAACCTGTAGATTCTCTCAGACTGTTCTGCTAAGTCTTTTTAATAATGACAGATACTAGGCATCATGCATTGAGTAGACAGAACGCGCTCTATGCTTCCTGTAAACTAATATTGACTATACATCCACTGTTTCTTCATAAAATGTGTTCAAATAACACAATTTTATTTTATGATCTTTTCTGAAATGCTCAACTACGAAGAAAACAGATCTGACACGACTCATCTCATACGAATGGCTGTAGTGATTATACAAGATTCATTCTATTACTGAGTATTCGAGGATTTCAAGCCTCTGAAAAGTATGTTTACGCCCTTTGCTTAACAGGGTGTGGGTGGGTGTTCCCTAGACTGAAAGGCTAGGGTCTAGAAACCGTAATTCACCTGTGTCTGTTTGTCCGTCTGTCTGTCTGTAACAAGCGCTTGGCACAAATGACCATTCCATGGCACAAATGGCCATTTCTATGGCACAAATGACCATTTCCATGGCACAAATGACCATTTCTATGGTACAAATGATCATTTTTATGGCACAAACGACCATTTCCATGGCACAAATGACCATTTTTATGGCACAAATGGCCATTTTCGTGGTACAAATGAGCATTCTTGTGATACAAAGTGCCATAATCGTAGTACAAGTGACGTTGTCAAGGTACAAAATACCATAGTCGTGGTACAAGTGACCATTGTCATGGTAGAAAGTACCATTAGTCGCGGTAGACGTTGCTGTTGTCATGGTACAAAGTACCAGAGTCGTGGTACAAGTAAGCATATTGATGGCAGAAAATATCAAAGTCGTGGTACGAGTGACGATTGTGATGGTGCAAAGTATCATTTTCATGGTATAATTGACCGTTGTCATGGTACAAAGCACCATGGGTCGTGGTACAAATGACTATTTTTGTGGTGCAAGTGACCGTTGTGATAGTGCAAAATACCATAATCGTGGTACAAGTGACTGTTGCTATAGTGCAAAGTATCGTGAGTCATGGTATAACTGACCATTTATTTTGGCACAATTGACCATTCTTGTGGCTCAACTCAGTTTCTACGGTGCAATCAACCATTTCTATGGCACAGTTGATCATTCTTATCTGCGGAATGAGCGTGTCTGTGTCACCACTAGCTAGATCCGTATTAGAAATTACCAATGCTATGGAATAAATAACCATTGCTAGTCCTTAGAATCAACTAACTCATATGCTTTATCATATACATTGGCATTTCACAATATTTTATGTCAACTGTTTGAATATATCTTTAGTATGTAATATACAACATTTTGCAAATATCAATGATTTGCCCTAAACTCATCATTGAACAGAATTCATTTATATTAAAAAACATAAGGACATCTGTGTCATCATTCCGTCAGTCTAGGGCCCAGTGAATCGACTTTCAATGTCGATAAACCTTACTTGTGAGTGTGGGATGTGGGTATGGAAGTGTGGCTGGGTGCGGGCGTGGGTGTGGAAGTGTGGGTGGGTGTGTGGGTGTGGGTATGGGTGTGGGGTGTGGGGTGTGCGGGTGCGGGTATGGGGAGGTTGTAAATGTGGGGTGTCGGTATAGGTGTAGGTGGGTATGACTGTGAGTGTTTTCTTAACTCACAGCCACAGCGACATCACACACCCTCACCCACAGTCACAATCACACCCACACTGACCCACACTCTCACCCACATCCACACCTACAACCACACCCACACCCCACACCCACACCCACACCCCACACCCACACCTCACATTCACATCCACACCCACACCCACACTCCACACTCACACCCAGATATCCTCTGTAGTACCATGTCTTAATTGAGTTACACTCGTGGAAAATTCACCGCATTTCTCAAGGAAGTTTTCTTTTTCTATTTTGACCATACAGTGAGCTAGCTAGGGGTCAAAAGCAATTTGTGAACAAGAAAACATTTCTTGAGAGTATGGGTGGGATGTGGGGTGAGGTGTGCATGTGTGGGTGAGGTATGGGTGTGGTTGGTGTGGGTGTGATGTGAAGGCGTAGCTGTGGCTGTGGCTGTTAGTGTGGGTGTCTGACGAGAAGCAAATTCACACTGGCAGCCACATCCACCCACTCACACCCAAGTCCACATCCACATCCACACAGGCACATCCTCAATGACGAGGTGATAAACTAATGCAAGCGCTGTTGAGAGAGAACTGTAGATATGCTCTAGTTTGATTGAATCATAGTCAACGAGCCGTCTTCAATTTCATCTCCTCTTTCGGGGGATGTGTGAAGAGCCGTACTTTTTCGGGCAGCCACATCAGCAGGTTGTTATTTTCTTTCTTTGTTTACACAAATGAAATGAAACGAAATACAGTGTGTTTTTCTTTTCAATCACGTATGGCAAAAAAAATGCAGCGCATATGTCAATAACATCGCTCAGTCTCTGTTTAATTTTACTTTCATGTTGATTTTTCGATCCTTGCGTTCGTTTCTTTTTCTCCAGCCGATTGTTGTTGTTTGTCTATAGCGAAAAAGAGTATTTCATTTTTTGAAACAATTCATTTTTGTTTTTCGCTTTCAACATACATTACAGGACGAACAGTTTCAAGCTTTCTTTCAAATTAATCATTCGCTTCAACATACTTTTAATATAGTAAGTTGTGTATTCGACCTCTTATCAATGTAACTGTAATATTTTGCTGAGCAGCAGTTCGACATACGCAGACAGTCAACTCTAGCAAGAAAACGACTTCCCAATGGATTATTTCCTTAGAGTGAAAGGATAGGGCCCAGAAATGGAAATTCAGGTGTGCCTGTCCAGCTGTCTGTAATGCAATTACTAGGATACTCCCCAGGCAAATGCTCTTCCGACACTTGTTTCCCAGTGACACTTAATCCTAGGACCCTAACTTCCCGACCAATTGCATCGCTAGTCGTACCTAGCGGAACTCTTATTGATTGCAAGTGCAAAATGGTGTTGGTATGAGTAAATCGAGATCTCAATCCATACACACCACACACCCTCACTTACACAGATGCTCAGCTCCACCCTCACCCACTCCAACTCGCACACCCACACCCTCACTCTCACTCTCGTCGACACCCACTCCAACTCGCACACTCACACCCTCACCCTCAACCTCGTCGACACCCTCACCCATACCTACACCCACTTCAACTCGCACACTCGCACACTCGTCGACACCCTCACTCATACCCACACCCACACCCTTTTTCGACCCGCTAATAGACTATGTTCTACGGTGCTCTAACTGCCAACATCATCAACATTGTACGAACAATTTTCCATTGAATCCTCCACGAAATCCATAGAATTGCCCTTTTTTCCAGAAAATGGTAAACTTGCTATGAATTCACTGCTTAATCAAAAGTGAAGGATTAGATAAAGTGTTATTTAATGCTCCTATGCTCGGTGGCGTCTTATTTTCGGCACATTTTTCTGCGAATCATTTCCGCTCGTTAACTAATACCATTTTTGCTACATAGAACTTTACAAGTAGACGAGAAATATGACTGGGTTAAGCAATTGTTCGAGTTGATTATATTAGTCATACCCTCCAGAGACTTCAAAAATAATAAAATCACGAGTTTTATATCAAAAATACGAAAAATACCGCATTGTTGGTGATCAAACGAACATTAATTTTGACGTACTTCAAATTCATCGGCTGCAAGCAACATTTTAACGAAAGAAATGCAACGACTGTGATTTTGAATCAACGTAACAGATTTTAATTGATGAAAATGGCCGCTTTAGTGAATGAACTTGGAAATAC